AAATTCTAACATATTTATTTCACACTAGTAAATAGAAATACATTTATTCTGATTTTTAAATATTAAAGTTATAATACATTATGTTTTATTATAAATTTAATAAACTGATTCTCCTTTTTGTAGTATTAAGATTATGATAAATYCTGATTTCTTATAAAACTTAATGAACTTATTATGATTTTTAATACTAAATTTATAATAAATTATGATTTAGTATAAAATTTAATAAACTTATTCTGATATTAATAAATATTTTAGAAATACTAACTAGTTAATATTTTATTACATGAAAAATATTTTATATCATAAAGTAATTAATTTATTCTTTTGTTTTTATATTTTGTTAATTCTTTTTTATAAATATTTTATTTGAAATATTAAATAGAAATTATTAATGGAATAATTTATATTAATATACTGTATTATATTAATATAAAATACTAGCATATTATATTATTAATGCACATTAGTCGACATAATAGGAAAAACTGTCTTTTTTTTTGGTTATTTGGACTGATTTGGTCGACATTTCCAAAATATAGGAAATGTCGACTGAAATAATGTAATTTTTATATTACCATCCATTTTCATGTCAGTGAGCCTCGACATCGACATATGTTGGGTGACATTTGGCGACATTTGAAACCATGCCTGGAAGCAGAACCGCTTTTCTGTCCAGGTGGTAGGTCAGTTGTTTAACCATCTGTGACAGCATAATTAAATAATAAAATATAAAAAATAGACAAATACAGAAGATATGGAAAAGTGTGATAAATACACATTTATGATTTATCTTTCAAAAAATTACAGAAAATTTGTAGAGAGAAAAACTAAGCATATCTCTAATATTATATATTCATCATATTAAACAAATGCAAGTGTGATAAATAAGAATTGTTTTTATCAATGATGAAAATGGCTAAAAACACCCAAAAAATGAAAAAAAGAGAATTAAAATCTAACCCTTGACCCACTGGCAAGGCAAAAGGTTCAGCAGTTCAACCAGCCAGGTCACTGAATCATTGACTTGGTCAACAGTTTTTGATGTAAGAAGTTTAGTGGTGAAATGGACCTGGAATTCTGGCTGGGTGATGGATCAATCAGTCTGACTGTCCATTTCAACCATAGATTGAAAACACTGGACTAACTACTGTCTCTTCTTCATGGACTTAGAATAGTCAATCTTTATGGATTCTGAGACTCATCATAAGGGAATCTAACATTGTGATTGAATGAATTAAGGGTGGGAAAGATGGTGTGGTCTTTGGTGGTTATGACTTATACCATCAAATTGGGCAAGCATAATCCATGTAGCTAAGTTCGTAGTCTGCAAACTCTTTAGCTGTAAAAAATGGCCGAGGTTAGAGTGATTTTTTCTGGGACCTTTTTCTTCGACAGTACAGTAATATCTTTTTGGACATTTTTTTATTAGGAAGCCCTTTTAAGTAATTGGGATGCCCTGATTGCTTCTTGTGTGGTTTGGGGTTCTATACATAAGATATATGTGTTTTCATAACTAATACAATACTGATAGGAAAAACTACCACCAAAAGTTGATCTAAAATCTTCATAAGGCTCCCTGGGCACAAGGAAAGTAATTTCCAAACCCCTCTGCATCTCATCTATGTTTGTAGTTTGTACATGAAACTCTTAATGAATTGAGGCCCCTTCTGTCACTAAAACCATTGATGAGGGGGGAACTGAAAGAAATGATGCAAGGCCCTTTCATGTATCTTTTGTGCTTCCACTAGGATATCTCCTTCTGTTCCTTAGGTATTATCCCAAGATCTTTGGCCTCTTAGAACCTAAAAAAGAATAACCTTATGGCTCCGGTGGAGAAAAACCCAAAATCGCAGATCTGGAACTGTTTCTTCCCCCACCCCCATCATGGTCTGCATCACATAAGATAGATGTGGCAGCTTAGTTGGTTGGCCCGCTTCCCTATACAGATTCAATGAATAATAAGTTTTAGGATTACTCAGAGTTTTGTTACCTTTCAGATTGTTGTGATCAATTGACAATTTAATATATGAAAACCTGCTTTTGACCCCTGCAAAGTCTACATATTGTGGAACAATGGAGATTTTTATAAGCAATGGTAATCACTCTGTTTGTTGGTAATGTGTTCCACAGCCCGGTGAAACCATCTAGGCAGCTACTTTTGTTGTTATCACCACATTGTGTTCTACAATTTAGTTTTTAGACCATTAAAGATCTAATAACTTACAAAATCATCTATATAATGTATTTGGTTATGCTCCTAAAGTGAGGTTTTACAATTTCTGCAGTTTGTTTAGCCTGTTATCTTAGAGCTTTCATTTTGTTTGTAGAGTGACCCCATGGTGGTTGTTTATGCAAAAGGAAGAGATGGAAAACTTGACGAGCTTGGTCGCACTGAAGTAGTGTTAAATTCATTAAATCCTGTCTGGATTACAAAACATACTATTACTTATCATTTTGAGATTGTGCAGAGTTTGTTGTAAGTCTTAATGCTTTTGCTACCCTTGGTTATTTTACTTTTGGTGTTTTTAATCTCTCTCTCTAAATGATCAATATAGCTCTTGTTTTGTTCAAGTTCACTTATCCTCTGGGTAACTACTTTTTCCCACAGGTTCCGTGTATATGATGTTGACACACAGTTTCATAATACATCAGTAAAGGTATACTTATTATGCTTTGTATCGCTATAATTCTAATGTGGTTGGAATAAGGCTTGTTAAGATTGTCATAATTTCTACTGTGTTGAACATGAATCATTCTTAGTATGTATAATTTGATAGACACATAATGCATACTCAATTTTCTATTAGGTTTCTAAGTTCTAATTTACTTGTATGGGTTCAAATTAGATCATAATGTTTTGTACGTGTAGTTTACATATTTATGGTTGGGTGACTTGGATCTTGTTGGTTTTGATCTAGTAAGCTTGACCAGAAAGGGGTTTGTTCTGGGCCTGTTACCATCCTATATGGTTAGTTGGTACTGGGTCTGGGTAGTTTTATTCAGTTTTGTTCCTAGACTATTTCAATCAGACCCAGATCTCACCTGTTCACATGCCAAGTACTAGAGAAGAAAGAGAACTTGATACCTGGGATAAGCATTAACTCCCTTAGGTTTTCATGTGTTGAACCATAAATTCAACTCAACTAAGCTTTGTCCCAACTATAATACTCTTTGGACAACCAAAAATCATAATACTCATACAAGGGGCATGCTATAGAGTCCAGTATGCAGACCCTTCTTTGGTTGTCTGGTGCATGCTACACCAAAAATTGAATGAAAAACATCTTTTGATCTTGTGAGGGAAAGAAATGACTGAACTAGTCACTTGTCTACACATATACAAGGTCAAAATTTTGATTTATAATATTTATGTTTTGATTTATTATTAACTATATTGTAAAGATGTTTTATTATCTTATTCGTTTCCTGGTGCAATTTGGAAGTTGTTGATCAGATGTTTTCTGGTTCTAACTTGTGGTCTTTATTTGATGATATTGTTGAAGATGTTTATTTATTTTTTCTTTTTTTTATATAGTTATTGATGTAAGGTTTTGTGTTTTCTGAGGTGCTACCTTGTCACCTTTTTGTATGCTCTCCTTTTTGTTTAAATGTGTTAGAATGCTCGAGTCAGGGGTATTTTGGTCATTCTGGTGTATCTTATTGAAAGTGAAATGTCTATTGTATCTGAGTTTAAGTTATGTGTCCCATCTTCTATGAGGGACAAAATTGTCTTTCTTGTAACTCAAGTTTTATGAATAAAAGTCAAGTGGGTC